CGCACAATCTAGTCGTGCCCCGGCTCGCTGCTACCCAAGTGTTTCGTCCTGAGATCCAGCACATCAACTGGCTGCGGACGTTCGGTACCTGCATGCAAGGCGTAGAGGTACCTACCACAGGCAGGAGGAGCCCTGGCATCACGGAGAGAGCACGTTCTCGCTGCGTCGTGTCACGACTCCCGACAGGCCCAATTCGTTGGGGAAGGAAAGCAGGAGCAGACAACAAAAAATTATTATTTTTTTGCCTCCCACATCTGGAAATACCCAGGTCCCCGAGCGCCGAGCAACGCATCAATTATTACTCGAATGATGGCACACACATACCTACATACGCCCACACACCATCCGCCAAATACTACACGAGGTTTTCCCAACCGCGCGGGAGCCGCTAGATACGATCCACGGGGAATTTCTGTCATGGTGACAGCAGCATCTCGTCCAATCGATGTTCTCAATGTAGAGGGCCTTCTCACCAGGTCCGCCGCCTCGGCCCCGATCTATCTATCCGCAGAGGGTCCTTTCATCTTTGATCCCTGATTCGACTCTGGATTGGTTGAGAGGGTTCTCTTATTGTTTTCCCGCCATCAGCAAAAGCCGGGCTGGCTGGCCACCGACCGGACCGGCCGGCCATAGCTTGGAGGAGATCGCTTCGAAACATTATTCATCAAGCAGAGGAGGAACAGAGATCGTCCCGTAATCTGTCTTGGAGTATTCTCAGCTTCCCAGCCTAACGACGATGAAGGATGATTGCCAAGATGCTTGGATATGCCCGTTGAGATGTCAAGAAATCCAGAACCCTTTTCAGCGCGACAAGCTAAGCAGAAACGTGCTTTGGTGATCGCCACGGTGGGGGGTTAAGAGAGAAGGAGGGGGCGGGGCCGTATTCAGAACCGTCAAGAGACTTCGGTTGACTTCTCTGTTTTGCTTCTTTTTCTTTCCTTGGGCTGGTTTCTGAGATCTGTTTCGCAATGGCTTCAGCCCCTGAACCGCCGACGTTGGACGACGTTGACGTCTTTGCTCTACCCCGGAACCTTGAACTGTTGTTTACTTTTTTGTCCTTTTTTAGCCTCTTATTTCACCAAAAGCGGATCTTTCCAAGCTGTCCGTGCTTGAGACATCTCCGGAAAGGCTGAAGGGTTCTCCGAGGGATCTGTACACACACACGGCGATTGAGGGAGGGGGGGGGGGGGTTGATCTCCCTTCCCCCAATGTCTTGTTTCGCCTCCTCATTTCTTTCTTCTTCTCTTTTCTTACGCTACTTGATGTCTTGGCCTATCGAACCCGAATAGCGGCCCCAGTTTTTGTGGTTTCTTTTCAACTGCTCGAGTTTTAGCCCTTTGCTTTTCTTCCGGCTTCTGTTTTGAATCAAACAAAGAGAAGGGTCTTGTTGAACGCGCTGTGCCGACAACCGGTCGCCGCTACGACTGATAGTGGTCTAGCTTGCGAAGTCCGGTTGTTCGAGTCTCTCTACTAGTGTCGAGTAGCTTTTTGATATCAAAGTATTAAGCTCGGTCTGTCACTGGATGGAGTGGAGTAATTTCTCCGGATGATCGACGGAGCTACGGCGCCGGGGAAGGGCTTCCCGGGTGTCAGTTTGGGTCTTGGCTTTTTATCTCAACTTTCCCACCCTCCACACAATCACCGACATCTTTGAAGCTAGCAAAAGATCGAATTCGCGATGGGATCCAAAAACAGCAACGGATAGGACTTTGCTTCTTTGATGTTGTTTGTTGCCGACACCCCTCCCCCTTCCCTTCCGGGGTTTAGCTGATGCACATGATGCAAGATTGTTGTAGTGCTAACCTATCCCAATCAACGGTGAAAATGATCGTCGATCTTCCAAAACGGCGCCGTCGATGTGTTCGAACATGGTCTAAAGCCGTAAGATTTTATAGACTCTCACCGTAGCTAGTGTCGGCGTGGCAGTCGTGGCAAACTCCTTTTTGTTGTTGATTAGGGATCGTGGTGTTGTCTCGTCTCGTGAATGTAAGGGATGAGGCTCTATTCTTGTCTGTATGCATCACGTAGGGTCAACGACCACCACCACCACCACACAGACAATACCTAACCTGACAGCTGTTACGAAGCTACCGGATGGACTGCCGAGGCGAGAGTCGCTGTCTTGAAAGTTTCAGCTCTCTAGTCTACAATAGCCTCAGCTGCTTTGGTGCTGTCTCTAGTTGTCGGCAGAGATGTCCGTGAATCTTTCTATGTATGGAGCTCCGGCAGGCAGAGAGGGTGGGGAAGAAAAGGCTGTTGAGACATACGTACACACACACACACATACACACGCACCATACAAATGCAGATAGAAAGGGGCAAGGCTTGTTGAAAGTTCCTACATATGCTTGTTGCGTACTGTACCTACTACCTATGGCAAGTGACTAATAAGCTAGGTATCGGAGATAGAATTTTGTGGTTGTTCACAGAAAGCGGTGTGAACAAACTCACATACCTACTACCTACCTATCCCCTTGGGTATGCAGTAGGAAGGCCAGTTCTCGAGGCCCAAAGGCTGCTTCACACTCACACCGTTCTCTTTTTGTCCAGAGTAAAAGTTTGGAACTAGATACGGAGGGGCACTAACTGCACTAAACTTACAGCCCTCATAATTAACCCTTGACTACCAATTTAGGACTGCTCTCCGCAAAAAAAGAAAGAAAAAAAAAGAAAAAAATAAGGAAGCTATTCAGATCTTCACCCGGCACGCCTGGACTTCCATTGGACCCTGATCTACACGCACTTGCCCCATAAGTCAAACGACGATCTGATTCACGCTAGGCGGGCTAGCTAAAGGGATCTTGTTCTGAAGAAAGAGAGGGTCTCGATCCTTTTGTTTTCATTTGTGCTTGGCCTCGTGGAGTTTGGTCTGTGGCATGCCTGTCTGTGCCTAGGTAGCAATTAGCTCTAAAGTGAACCCCCGGCTAGCAAAATCTAGGCACGAGAGCAAAGGCCGTCCAGAGGCTGTTACGAGGTCATACAAATCTTAGACCCTTCCTTAGCAGTGCTCAGCTAGTTTTTTTATTAATATTTTTTGACGACGGCGAGAACGGTCTAGCGTTTTTCTCTCCAGGTCGATAGAGGGGAGACTAGGCAAGTCGATCTACAGGTCTTTAGCTGGGGTAGGGTGTTAGGTAAATTGTTCCCAGCTAGCCATCTAGGGTGGTTGGCTCGTGTTACTAGGTACGTACGTAATAAAAGTGTGGTGGGTAATTTATCCTGAGCTTTTGGAATGAGGATGAAAAACGAACATTTGCGGCGAGGTCGGACTTGTTTGCTGAAAGGGGAAGTTTGGGTGGAAGGTTCGAATTTTCTTCTGTGGAGGTAGGTGGATTGGGGGTGGGTGATGTGATGATTAACATGAAACTTTCTTTCAGCTGGAATGGAAGGCTTCGCGGGCTTCTAAATGTTACGTGATGACGGGAGGAATGAGGGTCGGCGGATGTTGGGTGGGCGGGTGGCGAGGGTGGTATTGTTGATGGGTTGGGAAAGGGGGGAGGCGAAAAGGGGCGGCCGCCGGGGGGAAGGGAAGGGAAGTGGTTTGTTTTTGTTTACTTTGGTGCCGAGGGAGAAAGAGACTTAGTCAGGGGCGGGAGGGGATATGGTGATGGTGGCGAAGGTGAGGTGTTGTTTTTGAGGGTTTGGAGGTATAGTGTTGTTGGGTCTGGTGTTGCTTTGGATACCTTAGGTATCCTATGGTGGCTGGTACATGTCAGGTGCCGGCCACATGTGAGGCGCCAGCAGAACTGTGAGAAAAGTGATGATATTGTTCAGCACTACGAAAATCAGCTCCGGAGAGCAAAAACCTATCCCTATCAACAAACCTGACCTGTGGGCCACAGGGCAGAAGCCCTAGGAGCAACCTGACTGAAATCCACCGGGAGCAACACCTCCCACACCACAGGATTGAATTACGACGGGCATAGAGACGAAAAGATTCGGTTCCAATGTCGAGTGCGCTGATATCCATCATATGTCACCGCTGCTCTTCTGGTGTGAATGATGGGCACATGTATCAACAAATTGCCAGAGTCTCTACCAAGACTAAAACAGAAAGCAAAAGATCTACCCACGTGTGGTTGTCCACAGATTCCTATCAGGTGTTGTTGGTGTTAATGACAACTTCCTCGAACTAACATGAGGCAAGAGACACAGAGCTTCTATCTCAAGGTTCCAACTTCATGGATTGACGCCAGATGATCTAGAAAGTGGTGAGTCAGAATGGCACCTGCTAGATCGTACTGGATCCTGCTTCCGCAGTGTGACTGGTTAGTATGTATCTTTCTGCCCCTGTTTGACAATGATTTTGCAGTTATAGGAATCAATGAAGTCAATGAGGAAGTGAGATATTAGAGAAGGCGATAAGTATATGCCTGTGTTCCCGTCGACAGTGGAAGATTGGCATCTCTCTGGGCTAAAGTCTCTCTAATATTTGTACACAGAACACTCCTAGCATTAGGAGGAGGCATGGTACAGGTGTAAGAGTCACCCTCACACCAAACGAGGGTGTTCGTTTCCGAATAGCTACATGTGATAACTACTGTATAGGCAAGTCACATGTACAAGATGGCACTTCGTAGGTCAGACAAGAGCTGTTAAGACACAGCTCCTCATGTCTTATCGAAGACACAGGGTTTTGCGTAAGTAGCCCGCCAACATTACAAGTTGATTCTCTGTCAGGTTGATGTGAAGGCTGAGACAGAGCCACACACTAGTCCTCGCTGTAGGATTCCTGTCAAGTCCTCATAACCTTACTTGAAAAACTTGTAAGTCTGAAGGAGGCACTTAGCAACATATTTCGTGCTCTACACCAGCGAATCATACTCCGATAACGGTTCTCTTCCTGGAGTAAAATACTCAACTGCACAGACCAGAATGCCACAGCACCTCTTCTCAAACCCATCACCAAGTAAACACACCACCGCTCACATTTCAACCATTTCTCATTCCTATCATACCATAACCCCCCCCAAAAAAATTTAAACACCCCCCTTTAAAAACTATTGCTGCCACATATACTCACTCAACCCCAACAACCTCTCCCCCAACTGCCTCTTCGCCTGCGCCGCCACCCCCCTCTCCCGATCAGCCAGCTGCTCACTATAGCACAGCTCCAGCAGCGCCTTCAGCTCATCATAGCTAGGGGCGGGGCCCCTTCGGCCCCCCGTACCACAAAAAACCCCCCCCCCTGTATTTGCTCAGCATCCTTTTTCGTCCGCTCAACTTTCTCATCAAGCCCCTTCTCAAACAACTCAAAATACCCCATCTCCCTCCCCAATTCCAAACCTTCCAAAATTTTCTTCAGGTTCTGCTGCAACACCCTCACGTTCAGTTTCATCCTCCCGCAGCCGTTGAGGTTCATCGGGTGGGACACCACGGGCGCGATCTTGATGAGATAGGCGTTTATCAACAGACCCAGTCCACGGCGGATGAAGAGGACTTCTCGTTCGCGGAGATACCGGGTGGTGGTTTCATCGTAGGCGACCATCTCCGCGTTGAGGGACAAGATTTCTTGGTCGGGTTCCGTGACGATTTGGTCGAGGGTGTAGGGTGCTGTGATGGTAGGGGAAAGGGCGAGGGAGAGGGAGTGGACGATCCGACAGCGGACCTCCATGTGAAGGGTGCGGAGGGCTATGGAGGCGAGTTCCTCGTAGGAAGTTAGGATGCTGTCGAAGGATCTAGATCAAAATGTTAGTATACTGAGCCAAACAAAGAGGAGGGACGAAGAGGAGGGACAAAAAACATACTGCACCGTCTCCTGCGTCATAGGCAGGTACACCGGCCCCTCCTCCGCCGTGGCCTTATTAGGGTCATTCAGCAACGTCCACCTCTTCTTCTCCGGCTTCGGCAGCGTCGCCGCCGACGGCTTGGTCGACGTGTCGTTCTCGTTCTTCGTGATGTGCCGCAGGCCCATAACCTTAACCGTGAGCCACTTCATGCTCGTGTACAGCAGGCACAGCGACGAGATCGTATCCCTGTCCTGGATGATATCGCTTGCCTCCAGCTTTTGTTCGTTCGCTTTAGCAATCAACAAGCCCGCTTCTTTTCGGAGAAGCTCCTCGAACTCTTCTGTTGCTCCCGACGTCTCTGCCTTCCAGAGGCTCATCACCGTGTCGTGGATCTCACTAGGTTCCAGTGCCATGACTGCCGAGGCACGGAGCTCTTCGGAAGTGGATGCTTCTTCTTGGGTTTTGGTGACGAGAGCTTTGTACCAGTTGAAGCAGCGGTCGTAGTATCTCAACATCTGAGTGATGATCAGTGAACTGAGAGCCTGATCATGTGGGATCGTCCCCAGCATGCGGCAGAAGGCTGTGATGACCGTAAAGAAGGCGGTTGTCCCTTTGAAAATAGGTCTCTTGGCGAGATGGGCCCATTCCGAGTCTTGCAAGAAAGCATCCGCCTCCCCAAAGACGGTATCACTGAGCTTGCCAAGAGTCTCATCAAGTTGAGGCTGGAATACGTTGACAAGGAAGTTGTCCAGAAAAGACGTCAACGTGCTCGTCGCCAGGTCAGATCCAGGGGGCACGATGCTTTTCAGACGCTGCAAGAAGACAAGCGTCGGTGGCAACAGTAGGCTCATGTTGAAGACACTCGGCTCAACAAGCGACTTGTATGTCCCACTGCTCTGCTCTCTGCCATACCCAGCCCCCAAGCTCTTCCTTGTCGCCGCAGCATCCGACCGTGGCACAACCAATGTGGACTTCTTGCTGTTTTTTCCAGAATTGGAAGTCAAACCAGGGACAGCATTCTGAATAATATTATCCAGTGCTTCATACTCGGCCGTCATCTCCGCCGACTTGGCGTCCGCTTCCGAGAACTTGAAGAGGTGTTCCCTGGCGTCCATATGGCCATTCAAACCACCGCCTGGTCTCGGTGACGAGCGGAACTGGTACACATCAGCGTCGGTAGTGACATAGTTGTGTAACAGCGAGCGGATTTCGTTCTGGTAGAGATTCCACAGTTCCTTGAAACTTCCCAGAAGAGCAATATTGTTGCCGGCTCCCTCACGTCGGATGAGGGACTTGATCGACTCGTGGAACACACGGTGGCCTTCGGCGATCGCCTCGAATTTGCCATAGAGAGTCCAGAGCAGGTCATAGATGACATCTGCCCTCATCTGGGTCTCCCGCTGGCCATATATATGTAACCCGTTAGAGCCGTTCGATCCACCACGTAATGAGCTAGGATGCTTCTGGTCGATATCGTTGATCGTCTCGTTGACAACAGCAAAGAGCTCAACAGGCAGTCGTTGCTTCAGCATATCGACGGCAGTTTCTAACCTGCCCAATCTGTTCAAAGATTCAACCAAGAGCGTAATATAGTAGAAAGTATCGGCCTCGGGATTCTTTTGGGGATCCTCAGTCACAGACCGGTCCCAATCGATGGACTCGAAAATGATATGAAATGGGGCAAGGTTGGAAGTATCCTGGAATGCCTCGTTCATAGCTCCATGGTGTTTGGTGAGATTCTGCCACCGCTCCTGGCAGTAGGGGGATTTCAAGTAGAGATGTTCGTGCAGTTCCTCGACCAAGATTTCCATCAGTGCCGTCTCCTGGTTGGCAAGATAGCTGCGCAAGTCACTCAGCGCCCCAATCCCGTCCAATTCTGGTTTCGTTAGTTTGCGCAACGCATTTTGCAACACTTCGACGGCCGTGAGGAAGCGCTTCTCGGATATTCTGGCTTCCAACTGATCCGGCACCGTCCGCAAATCATCTAGCTCGTTTAATGTCTGTAGCACATCGTCATACATGCGAGATGTCGCGTGTAGCTTTTTCAGTTCCGGGTCTGTCGCACATAGAGCCGTTTTTGATGTGGCTAGAGACTCCTTCAAGGAGCGCACCTTTTTCTGCGAGGCCTGGATGCTGCCCTGAATCTTGTGGAAGGTTCCGATGGAGCTGTTGAAGCCCTGGTGGTACTCGTGGACAATCTTCTTGAGCGAGTCTTGCAGATACTGGTGCGTTTGGCGAAAATTGCGATATTCGTGGGCGCGGCCGACCGAGCTGGTGTCGAGCAGCTGTAGCGCCACTGTACGGGGATGCAGTCGTTCTCCAGCATGGCTGGCCATTCCTGCTTGATCAGCTCGAGCACCCTCCCCATCTCGCGCTCGGCGTTGGTCTCTGGGGCGGATCGCTGCATGGCGCGTTCGTTACGCTGGGCAGATCGTGGTGGTGGCCCATTGCGGAGTGAGGGCGGAGGTGGTTGTACGGGAGCGAGACTGGACCGAGTCTGAATTTGAGTTTAGAGCTGCGCTTTGGTTCACCGCCTGACGTGGTGGTGGCGGCGCGAACCGGTCGCTGCCATATCCCTCCCCGTATGGTCGTACTCTTCGTCCTGGCGACTGACATTGC